CTCCAATATTCGGTATATTTAAGATTTTAGCCACATTTTTCAATGCAATTGTCCGAAAATTAACAGAGAGAGTTCCTGTTAAGTACGCTACCCCCTGAAAGGTTATTGTCGGTATAGGTCATCGATATAGTATATCCCTCATATAACGGTACCTTCCTATATTCGGTATTTTGATGATTTAGCTACATTTTTTAATGGGATTTCCTAAAAATCCATACTAGAAGTTCTTTCTAAGCACTTGACACCCTGGAAGAGGAATGTCTATGTAAGTCCACGTCTTCGTATAGCCTCCATACAACGATAGCTCCCAATATTTAGTATTTTGATGATTTTAGCGACATTATTCACCGGAGTTGTTTAAAATTTCGTATTAGAGTTCCTAATGGAAACTACAGTGTATGAGACAAAATTGTTCATTCAGTTCCAGGTTTTTGTATAGTCCACCTATATTTTATAGGTTTATAATATTTTTAATTTTTTTTTTTCAATTAAATTATCTGAAAATCCACAAAAGGAGTTCCTTTAAGGTACTTTACCCCCTGGAAGAGTATTGTCTACATAGGTCCACGATATCGTTTATCCCACATATAACCGTACCTCCCTATATTGGGTATATTGAAAATTTAGCTACATTATTCCTCGGATTTTTTTTCAAGTTTCATATTTGTAATGACCCTGATATAACGTGTTGACCCTGTTATAACGGCTATATTCGGTATTTCTAAGATTTTAAAATAATTTTTAACGATTTTTTTTTAATTTCCAAATTAGTTCCAAATGGTGGAGGTTGTAATCACGATAAGGCTAAATTTTGATGACATGTGTTCTTTCCGAGAGAGAAATACCTACAATATTGCTATTTGTTTCCTATTTTTATAATCTGCTGAATATTCCCTATATTTATATTTGGAACGAATTAGAAAATTTTCAAAAAAAATAAAATCCATAAAAATTATTTTAAAATCTTTAAAATCTATATATATAAATGTAAGTTGTGTTAGTTACTACGCTTATAACTTAAGAACCGCTGGACTGATTTTAACGATTCACACAAATTCGGAGTTGTCTCCTCTCCGAAAAGGATAATATCCAAAAAAATCGCGTAAAAATGTGATATATTAACATTTTCATTTTGACTTTTCAAATGTACAATAGTAATGTTTTATTTTGCATGATTTTTTTCTATTTTGACTGGCTTTTTTTTAATTTACATTTGTAGTGTTTTTTATATTTTATTTTTGAATTCGAATATTAATACCAATTTATTTAATTGACTTGATTTCTTGACATGTGGGTTACAGGGAAGCGTAGTACCGAATTATGTGTTGGCGAAACGGAATAGATGATATCGAAATAAATAATCTCATTGGAAAATTTCTCAAATCGGGAAAAAAATCGAAAAAAAATTTCAATGGAATCGAATTTTAAAATAATAGTACATTCTATTGACAAACTTTGTATGGATCTTTAAACATTTGCTCTAAAAAATCAGCCAACAAGTTGAAGATTTTTTCAATTTGTTATTCTTCTTTTCAACTCCAGAACCTACATCGTGGTTCAGCTGGAAGCTGAGAATACATTTAAACAAACAAAAATGACCGAAAAGCCTAATTTGGCTCATTTCAAAGCGTGGACCTACTTCTTTCATGTGACAATAATCCGTCCAATGAGAGCTCAAAATACAAAATTCTTTGGGAGTACAATCAGTAAAATACCAAAAAATGCTAAATAGTAGAGCGAATGGGACTTTTAGTAAGAAAACGATTTCTATCCTTCCAGAAATTCTTCCCCAACATTCAAGATACCTTAAATCGCTTTTGCAGGTCATGATTTTGATCATAACTCACGGATAAGGGTACAAACCGATTTCATATTTATATAACCATCGTATGATTTAACCTATTTTTGGGGTCTTGGCCACTTTTTTCATTTTTTGGCCCTTATTTGGCCCATATTGGTCTTGACCACATTCATCAATTGATTTGGTTAAAAAATTGTATTTATGCTACCCTGGGGTAGGGAACCATCATACAGATGATTGCCACATAGGAATTTATTTAAGTAAAGTCCCCACATTGGAGTATCCCCAAGTCTATATGAAATAAATTGTGGAAACATGAACAAATTACAAATATAAAAAAGTAGCACGGGACCGAATATTTTTTGAATCGTCATTGAAGTATACTATGATGAAAAATATGGACTTTATGGAGTCTCCATCTTACAATTTAAATGGCAAATAAAATTAATTCCCATCTTACGGTAATGGGTGTAAAATAGTAATTATATTTGACTATTCTCAAATCATTCTGCCCTCAATTATGAGGTAGATAAAACTATTTTTACTTATTTAAATCAGGCGAATTTTTTTTTTTTTTCAGTTTGACATGGTATGTTATTCTGCTATATTTTTTGGCCTCTATTTGTCATCTTGGATTATTAGGCGTAAAAGAGTGTTTGGAATGTAGGTCGATGTTTCGGAGTAGTGCATCTATAAAGGTACCTCCTGATTTTACCATATTTCAAAGGATTTGCCAATAAATGTGTATTTGGGGGGTGAAAATCTTACACAAAAATGTCAACATTATCATAAATTCCAAATTACTGCTCATTTGACTGGAAAATTTTGCTACGATTTTTACCATACTAAAAATTAATTTGATCCCTTACGTGGGGATAAGTTTGATATATACTTTTTAATGGATTTGTATAGCACATCCACACATTTGAAGCCCACGGTTTAAATATTGAATCCCACGGCTTAAATATCGGTACAATTATTTCAAAACACTTTTAATCGACAAGTACGTGAACACTTATATCAGTCATATCAGTGAATAATTATGATTTGACGAATATGCATAATAGACAAAAACTACGGGCCGGCAACGCGGACCGGGCCAGCTAGTATCTAATAAAAGAAGGTGCCGATATGTAGGGATATACGATATTGTGGGCCTATAAAGGCAAATCTATGTCTACGTGTAAAGTACTCACAAGGAACTCCTTGTGTGGATTTCCAAAATACCGAATATCGCGAGGTATCGTTATATGGGAGCCATACGTTATCGTTAACCTATATAGAGAATTCTCTGTCGGGGGGTAAAGTGCTCACAAAGAACCCCTTGTGACCATTCCGTTGAAAAATATGGCTAAAAACATCAAAATACCGAATATCGGGGGTACCGTTATATGAGGGCTATACGATATCGTGGACCTTTATAGATAATTCTCTGCCGAGGTAGAAAGTACCCACAAGTAACTCCTTGTGTGGATTTTCAGACAATTCCGATGAAAAATGTGGGTAAAATCATAAAAATACCGAATATCGGGGGTACCGTTATATGGGGGATATACGATATCGTGGACCTGTATAGACAATTCTCTCTCGGGGGGTAAAGTACTCACAAGGAACTACTTGTGTGGATTTTAAGACAATTCCATTGAAAAATGTGGCTAACATCATCAAAATACCGAATATCGGGGGTACAGTTATATGGGGGATATACGATATCGTGGACCTATATAGACAATTCTTTTTGAAGGGGTAAAATGTACACAAGGGACTCCTTTTGTGGAATTTCAGACAATTTCATTGAAAAATGTGGCTAAAAACATCAAAAGACCGAATACCGTGGGGGTACCGATATATGGGGGCTATACGATATCGTGGACCGATATGGCCAATCTTCGAACTTGACCTGCCTGCAGACAAAAGAGAGATCTGTGCAAAATTTTAGCTTCCTATCTTAATTCGTTTGGGCTGTAGCGTGATTACAACAGACGGACAGACGGACAGGGCTAAATCGTCTTAGAATTTTAGGCTGATCAAGAATATATATATACTTTGTTGGGTCTGAAGTTATTATTTCGATGAGTTACAAACGGAATGACGAACTTAATATACCCTCCATACCTTTTTTGGTGGAGGGTATAAAAAATAAATAAATAAATAAATAAAGTGGCTGAGGCCGTTGTGTGGGGGCCATACCAAAATGGGAACCTCTATAGACAATTTTATACTTCAAGGATTATCATCTATCAAATCTTCTTAAATACCAATTTTGAAATAATTTCTGGGGGTACATGTGACTAGGATTATCAAAATACCGAGTATCGGAAATCGTGGACCTACATTTTCAATATTCTGCCGCAGGAACTAGAACCCATTATGAACTACAAATACCAATTTTTAGACAAATCTGTGGAAAATGTAGAGATCATGAAAATACTGAATATTGGAAGGTACCGTTATATGGGGGCTATAAATAACGTGATACGTATATACAATGTTTCGCGCTCCGAGCTGGAACCCATTATAACCTACTAATACCCAAATCTTCAAAATACTGAATATAGGGAGGCACCGTTATATGGCGGCTATACCAACCATCCTAGACAAAATACAAATTGTTCTGCCAAATTTTGAAGCTCTACGTCAAGTAATGTGGACTGTATCGTAATTTCAACAGACAGACGGTCAGAAGGACATCGTTAAATCGGCTTAGAATTTTATGGTAATCATACGATATGGTGATCATATGGGTCTACGACAAATATTTAGGGATGTTACAAACGGAATGACAAAGTTAATATACCCTTCTTTTCAAGGTGGAGGGTATAAAAATGCTGGCAACACTGGCTTACACAGTACATACAACCCCCACATTCTGTAAGGCTTCATTACATTTTCTGAAGTTAACAGAGGCCTCCAACGCCATCTACTCTCTTTTACAGAAGCACACACACACACCCATCGTTAAGAGAACTTGGCCAGGATACACAGCATCCATTCGTTCATTGGCTGTGTAACAAATGAAACTGAAAGTCTCAGTTCTATTTTTGTCGTATCTGGGTAAGCGTGTCACAAAGATTTTAGCGGATTTTCTTTGTTTTGTTTAAACGGGCTAAATAGAGTGAAAGTGTTTACAATTGTACAACAATAACAAAGTTAAAAAAATTTTGGAATTAAATAAATATTTGAAGTATTGAATGAGAAAAAAAATAAAGAAAAATATTTTCTAAAGATTAAAGTTTTTTGGCAGCGGAAGTAAATTAATGAAGTTATTCAAAGAAATGGAAAATATCCAGCTAATGTTAATTAAGTTCTGAAGTTTGCTCCTCGTGCTGTTCGGGCGTGTGTACGTGCGTGCCAAAAAGAAGTAAAAATTAATGAATTCGCTTTATGTGGTGGTACAAAGTTCGAAGTTTATTAAAGTCAATCCCGAAGTAAAAGTCAACTAACCGCAATGGAGAACCACAAGTGAGAAGGCTAAAAGTCAGCAAGTAAACAACTGAGCAAATTAACTTGATTTATTATTTCAATTTGGAGTAGTTGTTGTTGTTGGTGTTGGAAAGAAATCACTGAATTGAATAATTCAAAACAAAAAAAAAAATATTCTCTGACACCGTAGTTTTAGTCTCACAGAGCTACAGTTATTGTCCCGAATATATCACACACATACTACTACATTATTGGATTACTATATGGCCATGCTTTAAGAGCCATAGCTGGCGCACACATATACTCGGTTTAAACCATCCAACCACCCACACAGCTACAAATATATTCCACATCTATCATAGCAGCAGCGGCATTTCAATTCTTGTGTTTTTGTTTTCCATGGACCCGCAATAAACAATGTAACGAGACATCGCGAAATTCCGTCGGAAGTCCCTAGACAACCCAACAAAGTTTAGGTAAGTTTTGCCCATATTGTAAAGTTCTTGGCGTTGAGCATTGTTATTGTTATTGTTTATGTTTGTTGGTTTGTTTGTCTGTCTGTCTCTCGGTTTATGTGACGAGACTTTGGTTGATTTATACAAAAGTGGTGGTGTTTTCTATTTTTATGCGAACATAAGACATGTGGCGTACAACATACAACAAGGGGAGGGAGCGAAGAGATTTTATGTGTAATTTTATGTATTTTTGTATGACCGTGTGTGTGCTTATGTCTTCACAATTTATTTGCTTGACTTCACCCATAAAGTTTGCCAAAGCTAGTCGATGGATGAACAGTTGGTACCATGTACTTGCAACAAGTCGTTACTATATCCAAAGAGGGAAATTTGCAAAAGGAAGAATTTGGTAATAAAATTTGGAAATGTCACCAGTAACTGAAGAGGAAACCTATATCCTTAACTAATACTTACACAAGGACTTCACACTAGGATTCCTAGGAAGTTGGGAATGAAATATGAGGTGAGAATTGGGAAGCTTTAGTCGGCATTCCCAAGGATATATACCCTCAGTATTTTACAAAAAAAAAAAAAAAAAAAAAGCCATAAATACTGGAGTTGTATATCCCATCTTTATACCAGATCTAAAGTTTGTAGAAATTCTGTGAGAAGTCTATGCTACGGTCATTTTTATACCCTATAATGATAATAAGTTCATCATTCCGTTTGTAACTCATCGAAATAATTATTTTAGACCCAACAAAGTATATATATTCTTGATCAACGTAAAATTCTTTTTTAATGGCATTGTCTGAAAATCCACAGAGGGAGTCCCTTTTGAGTAGTTTGCCTCCTGGAAGTGAATTGTCTATAAAGGTTCACGCTATCGTATATCCCCCATATAACGGTACCTCCCAAAATATGGTATTTAGAAGATTTTAACCACATTTTTCAATGGAATTGTCTTAAATTCTACACAAGAAGTTCTTCGTGACTACTTTATCCAATGAAAGATATCGTATATCCCACATATGACGGTACCTCTCGATCTCTTCGGTATTTAGAAGATTTTAGCCACATTTTTTAATGGACTTGTCTAAAAATCTACAGAGGAAGTTCCCTTTGGGTAGTTTGCTCCCTGAAAGAGAATTGTCGATATAGGTCCCCGATATCGCACATCCCCCATATAACGGTACACCCCATATTCGGTACTAAATGATTTTAGCCAAATTTTTCAATGAACTTGTCCGAAAATCCACACAAAGTGTTCCCTTTGAGTACTTTACCGCCTAAAAGATAATTGTCTATATAGGTCCGAAATATCATATGGCCCCCATATAACGGTACCTCCCGAATTTCCGTATTTAGAAGATTTTAGCCACATTTTTAATGGAATTGCCCGAAATTCTACACAGGGAGTTTTTCGTGACTACTTTAACCTTGAAAGAGAATTGTTTATATAGGTTCACGATATCGTATAGCCTCAATATAACGGTTCCTCCCGATATTTGGAATTTTGATAATTGTAGACAATATTTTCAATATAATTGTCTGAAAATCCATACAAGGAGTTCCCTTTGAGTATTTTACCCCCTAGACGAGAAGGGTCGATATACGTCCACGATATCGTATATCCCCCATATAACGATATCCCCCAATATTCAGTATTTTGATGATTTAAGTCATATTTTTGAATAGAATTGTCTTAAAATCCATAAAAGGTGTTCCTTGTGAGTATATTACCACCTGAAAGAAAATTCTCCATATAGGCCCACAATATCGTATATCCCCCAAATTACGGTACCTTCCGATATTCGGTATTTTTATGATTTTACCCACATTTTTTAAATGAAATTGTCTAAAGCTCTGGAAGATTGTTTGAAGTTCGGAATCGTTACCACAGTCTATGAGAAAAAAATACTTATGCAGCACCATGTTTTCGTATAGCTCCTATAGAAAAGTTTTCATTTGAGTGGTATTTTTCGACGGATTTTTTTAAACTTTTTTTAACTAGTTTCATATCTGACCTACGGCTGATTAAAATATTAAGATGCGCAACTTTTAAATTATTGCCGATTTTTAATATATCTCGAAATTTAGCATGATCTCTGGGCTCCGTTCAAATGCCAAGATAATCGTGTCACTATGGGCCAAATTTCTAGGATCCAATGGATTAAAAACTTAACACAGTACAAAAATCATTTCTCGATATTTGAAATGACAACTCAATACTTGTTGCGGGGATTCTTTCAGATCTACAGAAACTGAACCTTAAAAAGGAATGGTGTAGCCCATCACACTGTTAGTTTTGGTTTTGATTATTCATTTATTTTCATTAGACCTATGCAAATGATTTTAGATAAGGTATAAGCCCAATTCAGTTACAGAATGTACTGGTAATTGTGGAAAAAAATTGAATATCGAAAAATACGGCGTTTGTGCATTTGTTGGTAAGATGGAGAAGGAAGAGAAATAGACCCATAGTTATTTTTGAGGATCTTCATAGAATCACTTTATGAGTCGATTTATGCATGCCAGTCCGTCTGTCCTTCCTTCCGTCGCATTATTATTCGTTTGTGATTAAATTTTCCAAACAATATTTGTTTGGTCCAAGGACGAACCCTATTGAAATTGGTGAGAATCGGAATCGGGGTTTTCTTCAACCGATTCGGGTTAATTGTGCACCAAATAGTCGTCAACATCAGTCCAAATGACTTGAATTTTTGTCTAGAAGCAAGTACATCAAATTTTGTGAAAATCGGTTCAGATAGCTATAGCTCCCATATATATGTTTCATGCGATTTGGTGTTTAAGTCCCGAATAGCGTAATATGCACTCCACAAGAATGATACTTGGTATCAGATATCAGATACAGCTCGAAAATACCTCTGCTAAATTTTATCGAGATCGGTTTAGATTTTTATTTATACATCTTCATCCGATTTTACGGTTATTATCCACCATATATGTAATATCAACCCAAATTGGATAGATTTTTTCATATTCAACCGAATTCTTCCATTTGGTGAAACTCGTCCAGGTATATCTTTTGCTCCAATAAATATTTTTTAATATAATCCCTATCAAGGTCATATCATGCACTATACAGCAATGGTTTTTTGGTATTAGAGGTATAAAAGCCTCCGTCAAATTTGTTGAAAATCGATTCAGAGTTAGATATAGTTCCGAAATTGTGACTATTCTAAAGCCATGAATTAAATTAAGCTAAAATCAAAACAAGTAAAAAAGCTTTAAGTTTGGCCGGGCCGAACTTTGAATGCCCTCCATCATTTGGTACAAATTTAAAAATTTTCAAAAAAATATATTCCGTTCAAAATTCTGTTAAAATCTTAAAAATGCCTATACGACGACGTGGACCTGCATAGCCAACTTTTGTCACAAGCTATTACAATACTCTAATGCGAAACTTGAAAAAAATGTTTATTTATAATGTAGCTAAAATCATCAAAATACCGAATAAAACGTGGACCTGCACAGACAATTTTCTGACATAGACTGTAGTATCCATTACGAACTTCAAATACAAAATTTGGAATAATTCCGGTAAATAATTTCGCTAAAATCATCAAAATACCGAATATCAGGGGGTACGTTATATGGGGGCTATACGAAGACGTGGACCTGCACAGATAATTTTCTGTTATAGGCTGTACTATTCATAACGAACTTCAAATACTATATTTGAAATAGTTCCGGTGAATAATGTCTCTAAAATCATCAAAATACCCAATATGGGGAGGTACCGTTATATGGGGGCTATACGAAGACGTGGACCTACATGGCTCATTACGAACTTCAAATATCAAATTTTAAACAATTTCGGTAAAGAATGCCACTAAAATCATCAAAATACCAAATATCGGGAGGTACCATTATATGGGGGCTATACGAAGACGTGGACCCACATGACCCATTTTCAATACCAAAACTCCTGAATACATAATACACATTTTATTAAAATTTTATCAACCTACTTCATTTCGTTCGGAAGCTAGAGTGATTTCCACAGACGGACGGACATTGAACTTATATGAACAAAATTCTGCTAGAGGAGGTGGAATGCATTACGAATTCTAAATACCGAGTTGGAAGCAATTAGAAGTAAATTTTTCCCCTCCTAGTATCGGGGAGGGTATACCAACTATATTATAGTTCCAGCGAATCAAACATCGAAAGGGTTCCACTCTTAATCCCAAACTCAGCAACAAAGGTGGTATTAATCTATTTTTGTTTTTCATTGCATTAGACAACTATTTAATTATAAAGCGATCATAAATTTCAGAAGAGAAAGTCGAAATTAACCAACACTTTATTTTTACTTTTTTCTTACGTTGTGTTGTGTTTTGCCGAACAAATTTCGATATAAAATACAACATTCATGTACACAAATTGCATTTAACCGAATTGTACTGTATGCATAAGTGTTGTTTTATGTTTATTAGAGATATTCGTGCGCACAAAAAAGTGTGTCACCATCACAAATTCCAGCACTTATCCTTTCCGGTCGACAACGACGGAAGGATGTACAATTTTTCTCCCGTTACAAATTTTATTACAGCGACATGTTTTAGAATTTTATTCTTCCTGAATCTTTTGTGTATCTCCGACACGAATATGAATATTAAATTGAAATTGTCTTTATTGGGATTTTTAGCAGATTATTTATTTATACTACCGATATGTTTTAATTAGTATGGTATTAGGATATTTTTTATTAAATACTGTTGCGGGGGCTTTTATAATTTATTGAAATTGGTTACAGTTAGAAAAAAAATGGCTTTCAATTTAATAGTTATACGAAATTAATGTTTCCTTATGAAAATGTTTTCATATAGACATTTTGATGGATTATAAGTAATTCGATGGTGAATAACATGGAATTACGTATATCAAGATTATTTTGCTAATACCTGTGGAAAAAGAAATTTTGGACCTAAATAGTATTTATACCCTACAACACTATGTATTGGGGGTATTATAAGTTTGATTGGGCAAAAAAA